TAAGTGGAAACCCCCTTGAATCCCTCTTCAAATTGCTCCTAAAGCTCCAAATTTGGATGAAAAATGGTGAAAAATGCCCAAAATTCGCGAAGGGGCCTTTTTATGCATTCTGCCTAGCACTTCCACATCTGCGGCCAAATTCACGCACCTGCGGTCCAAACGCCGCATCTGCGCCTTTCACTTAAATCCCCTACTTTCGCACATGCGCCCCAGGCCTCGTACCTACGGGCTTGCAGATGCGGTCCAATATCCGCTCATGCGGTCCTTCTCCGCTTCTACTGTCCATTTCCGCTTCTGCGGACCTCGCACATGCGGTCCCCAATCCGCAAGTGCGAAAATGACAGAAGCAGCAGCTTCAGCTGCTCAAACCAACTTCCAACCTTTCCGTTAACCATCCGAATGCATCCCGAGGCCCGTGGGACCTCAACCAAAAATACCAACAAGTCATATACCACTATTCAAACTTATTCAAACCTTCGGAACACTCCAAACAATATCAAAACACCAAATCACCCTCGGATTCAAGCCTAAGAACTTCTAAACTTCCGAATTCTGCAAACGATGTCGAAACCTATCAAACCTCGTCCGAATAACCTGAAATTTTGCACACATGTCACGAATGACACTACGGACCTACTCAATTTTCTAGAATTTCATTCCGACCCTAATATCAAAATTTCCACTGCCGACCGGGAAACACCAAATTTCCAATTTCGCCAATTCAAGCCTAAATCTACCACGGACCTCCAAATCACATTCCGGACACGCTTCCAAGTCCAAAATCACCTAACGGAGCTAACCAAATCATAAATATCCAAATCCGAGATCGAATACTAAAAAGTCAAAACTTGATCAAACCTTTCAAATTTAAAGCTTCAAGTTGGGAATTGCTCTTCCAGATCTATTCTATTTATCCTAAAAACCAAAACCACTGATTTACATAAGTCATAATACATCATAGGGGCTAGTCATGCCCGAGAACTGGCGAGCGAAGTGCAAATGCTCAAAACAACCGGTCGGATCGTTACACTAGTATATGATTGCTAAGTCATTAATCAAAGTGCTATGAAAAAAAATGAAAACAATGACAACAAATTAAATTGAAATCATCAAACTTACCCTTAAACTGCATACTGACTTGTTGTGACCGACTTGATGGCAAATTGAATATGACATCTTAGCACCCTTCTTTGACAGTTTTTCCCACTTCTTTGGTTCATCCTTGTCCTTTCTTCTGCATTTTTTTGGCCTACCGGGCATTGGTTTAACTTCAGGAGGCTCAATTGATGGATTGGTAGACTCAGTCCACATTTGCATGCTTGGAATTAGCTGAATATAGTATTGGTAAGCAGCTAGAAAAGTGTCTTTCCTATACCAGTGTTCAACATAGTCTTCTACTTCCTTCCCAATCTTATAAAAGGCACATATTGCATGTTGACATGGTATACCTCTTAACTGCCATAATCTGCAGCTGCATTCTCTTTTTTTGTATATCAACATTGTGTCTATACATGTCATCATTCACTTCAAATCCAGTGTCAACATACCACTGTACTTTCAACTTCCTTCCTATTTCCATGTTTTCCTCTAAAACTAGTCTTGCCATAGGTGATATATCAGAAGCCCATGTTTCAACAAACTTGATCATATCAACTTGCCTACTCATCATTTTGTGCCTAATTTCTTCAAGCATAGTGATGACAGATTTATGCCTAGGACTTAATATTCAGGAATTAAATGTTTCATGCATGTTGTTTTCTACTACATCACATCTAACCTTATCATTGAAATATGCCCCACACCAGTTTTCTTTATCATAGGACAGTAAACTTTCACAAATACTATTTCCTAATTCATCCAATTTCTTCATTTCTTCTCTTAACTTTACCTGAAAAGGAGCCTTAGCACATCTTAAAAACTGCTTCCTTCTCTCCTCTACCATCCAAGATTTCTACCAGTTTGCCCAAATGTGTCTTACACACATTCTTCTTTCAGCAAGAGGTAGCAAATCAACAACAACAGATGACAATCCCTAATAACAACAACATCAACATGCAATATTAGTGGGATACAGCAACAACAACAATAATAATGATAACAAACAAACAACATAATAAATGGATTGCAGTACCTTTTGCATGTCAGACATGACTGTTAAATCTTCACCATTCCTCAACTCTAAATCTGTTTTGAGATAGTTGATGAACCAACTCCATGAATGTGTAGTCTCTTGATCTACCAAAGCCTAAGCAATGGGATACATCTGATTATTTTCATTTTTTCCAACAGCCACTAACAATTCACCTTTGCAAGCTCCCTTTAGGAAACAACCATCAAAACCTATGATTCTTCTACAACCTGCCATCCATCCCTTCTTCATAGACTCAAAACATACATGAAAATATTTAAACAGATGTTTCCTAGGAATTGTTTCTGTATCAGTTCTCACCAAACATGAACTTCCAGGATTGGTGGACTTAATCATGTCAGCATAGTCTAGCAACCTAGAAAATTCTAGGTTCCAGTCACCCATAAATTGACTAATTACCTTCATATTGGCTCTATATACAAGTGATCTTCCTACATACAAACCCCATTTAACTCTTATAACCTCTTGCAACTCATGCACTGTGATGTTTGGAGTTGAGATGATTCTATCTTGGAGCTTTCTTGCAATGTACTTGGTTGTGAAAAGTTTGTTCTTGTTCTTTGTTGGGCATTTATGGATAGGTATATAAGTCTTCACAGTAAAGTTCCCTGAATACTTATCCTTACTAGCAAATATTTGCCACTTACACTTTTCATGCTTACACTTAGCTTTTACTCTATCTTTCTCATTAGGTCTAAGCTTTACAGACACTTTATATTGAATAGCATAGTCAGCAATAGCTTACCTAAAATCTTCTGCATTATCAAAGATCATGCCCAACTCAAACAGAGGAATTTTAGCATCAAAGTCATACTGATCTTTTGACTTGTTCTTTTAGGAGGAAGATCAACACCAGGTTGAGCAAGTAGGTCTAACTCTTCATCACTGTCTACACTCCTAACATCTGAGCTGTCCAAATACTCTTCATCCCCACCTAGCTTTCCAACATATTTATGCCTCTTATTTATCCCTATATCCTCAAACCCCTTATCAATACCAGCCTCACCAAGAATTATCTCTTCTGTAGAAATAGGTTTTTTCCTTTGTTTCCTCTTACTTTGTGATCCAGCATCATTCACATTTTTCTTCAGTCTGTTTCTCTTTACTTCCCTGGCAGCATTCCTCACAGATCTTAACTCATCATCTATCTCACTGTCATCTTCTTCTATAATATCTTCAAGGTCATCTTCACCAAAATCTTCAAGGTCATCTTCAAGATTTGTATCTATTTCATTTGTGTTGTCATGCTCTGCAGCTGCACTCTCTTCAACATTTATATCCTCATCTGAAAATGTAGCCCTAGATTGTTCTGTATTTACAGCACTACCCTCAGCAGTATTTACTTCTATATCCTCAACCACACTTACTCCAATACCCTCATCAACATTTACTCCAATACCCTCATCAACATTTACATTAATACCCTCGTCAAGAGTTACATTAATACCCTCATCATAATTTACACCAATTCCATCATCGATATTTACTCCAATGCCCTCACCAACATGTACACTAACCCCTGGACCACCCCTAATTTTTGTATTAGTTGTAGCTTGGTCACTATCACCAACCTGTGAGGAAGGTAAATATCCCACAGGTACATCCTCCTCCACAACCTCTAAATTATCTATTACATGACTCACATAGACATCAAAGAGATCCCCATCTTTCGGGTCTTTAATCAAATTTAGTAGCTGATAGTCATTTTCAATTGGAAAGAACTTCTGAGTTTTAGGACATTGAACAAAGAACCCACCAACTGAGTTGTAGTGCATTTTAGGGGTTTCTTTTGTGTAAGACACAAGCTCGGGCAAAGAGAAATGGTCTTTGTCCACCACATGCCCTGTTTTTTCACCCTCCCCACATACTTTCCATCAATAAAGTGACCCCCATGATGAAAAACAACACTAATATATTCGTCCATGTGACTCGATACTGAAAATGACAAAAGAAAACCAGTCAATATTCCCTGACCTTTTCAATTTTCCAGAAGAAAAAAAAACCCTAATCTAATAGCACCATAACAGACATATAGCAATAAAATACAAAAATGCATGATCTAAACATACATTTATGCAATAATCGAAGCCACTTTACAGCTGCCTCCCCTTTTCACAAAAACTCCATTGTCAAAACCCTAGGACGACCTTCCTTCAGGTGATAAATCTTGAACCAAGCTACAATTCGAACAAACCACAACTAATCCTACTTAGTAAGTGAAAGAAATGTTTAATTTTGCAACAAAAATGCCGATTGAACAAAGCTTAATCGAAGAGATGAGGTGGGTGGAATTCGGTGAGAGAGAGAGAGTAGACGGAAGAAACGATGAAATTAACCTTTATGTTTTATGTTTTTAATTAGATGACTTTAATTATTTATTTCTTATTGTTTTTCCACGTGTTAGCTTCTATTTTGTTCTTATAATATACACCGGAGGTGTAACACACGCGACGGGGGCTGGTGAGGTCGGGTGTTTATTGAGTTCACTGTTTAGTCGCGTGATATGTTTAAGTGAAAAGGGTCTCAGTTGAGATGCTCAAATGACCATTTTGGACAACCTAAAGGGGCGCTTTATATATTTCTCCTTCTTTAAAATACGTTTTAAGTTGAATTATTTGACTGGTGATTGTGTATTTTCTTGGAACAGTTTTATTTTTTATTTAGTTAGTTGTATACGACCAATATTCATATTTTCAAGAACTTATATTTTTATTTTATAACTCAAAGATAATTTTTAAATAAATTTTTCATTGAGTTAGATACACACGCAAAGCGCGTACACTAAGAGTAGTTCCCTATTAACTACATGAAAAAGAATAGAAAAATTGTCACAAGGATTTGGGGTCGGTACGCACCCTGTGCAACGTTTTGGGCCTATTTTCCAACATCTCCGAAGCTTAAGGTGAAAGTAGGAGTAACTTTTGCTTTTAACGAGAGACCCTTCTTGCAAAATGTTCATTGCAATTTGCAACCTGTGAAAATGAAGCCGAGACTCGTTGCTTCAATTTCTGCTTTAATGGCTGGTAAATATCTCTGTAAAACCCTAACTCTTTTTACTGTTTTTCAAATAACTCCCTTCCCGTTAAACTGTTCATTTTCCTCCGCCGCAGGTGAACGTGCCGGAATTTTCAAAGCCATTTCCGGCATCTTTCCGGAATCTCAAACATTCAACGGCTTCGGCGGAAACTGCAGCAGGTAAAATACGATTTAAAGCTTATGATATAATAGCTTTTTCTTGGTAGTTTTACGAATAAAGATTAAGCAACGGTAAAAATCGAAATATGAAAAAATTTCTGCTTCAGTATGCCAATAGTAAGAGGATTAATAGCCTACGTATATCCCTTTTACAATTTTATTCTGGTTATTAGTGCTAATATAGATTCTTTAAATGTGAAAATTATCAAAAAAATTCATTTTTAGCATTGGCTAATATCACTGCAATTCTTACACCATCAATGCAATTTAGTTGGTTACTAGGTTATCACTCTATTTTCCAGGTTACCATATTAGACTTGACATGAACAGTTTACCTATGCTATAGGTCAATTTTAGCTGATGATCTAAAAAAATTATACGCTGTCAATGCATATAACTTAAACTCTGTTCGTCGTAATTCATCTCGATATTTTCACTTATGGATTATAGTTCATCTATTCGTTGTTTTTATTATTTACTAATTGAGGACGATGTTAATTGTCAATAGAACTTTAAAACACATGTAATGAGCAACAAAGAGAGAAGAGTCATGAGAGTCTTTTCTCGTAGAGAGATGGTACAAAAACCAATGCCAAGTTTTGCATTATTCTAAATGCATTTTACCTGAAATCTTGTAGGAGTAATTGGTAACTGGGACAGTTATATAATTTTTACTTCAAAGATATAGATGTTGTAGGACCCAAGGGTATGGCCTAGTTGTCAATGAAGTGGGTTGAGGACCACGAGATCTCTAGTTCAAATCCCAGCGAAGATAAAAATACTAGGTGATTTTGTCTCATTTGTTTCGACAGAGTTACCTGGTACCTATTGCTAGTGAGAGGTAGCGGGTATTACGTGGAATCAGTCGAGGTGGGCGCAAGCTGGCCCAGACACCAGGGTTATTAAAAAAAAGATATAGATGTTGTTACTACTTACTAGAAGAACGCCAAGGCAAATGCACCTAGGAATATGTATATAGAGGAGGATATAGTGATGTTAAAATTGGATTATACCAAGAAGTCATTTTATAGATTAACCAAAATATAATGGATGGACGATGAAGCAAATTCAGTTTTTGTCTTTCCTTAGACAATTCCCTCTTTTACTATAGTGGAGATTATTGAACATGTTCATAAGACGACGGAAGAATGAATGTTTCTTTTGTAGAGGTATAAATAGCAATTGGTCTGTATTACGCCCACTCTGGTTCTAAGCATCCTTTCTTCCCTGCTATGCTTCGGAAGTTATGTGGATCCTTTGAGTGCTAAATTGATGCCTAATTGGGATTCAGGTGATTAGTGTGTAACCTACAATTAGGAATAGTTATTCTCCAGAGCCTGCTGAAAATCTGCCAATTTTTGCAATTCACTCACAAAGGGCCGCTCGACACTCAACCCTCACCATACTACATAAAGGGTGGGGTAGATTTCCTCTTATCTATCTATATATATAGTGCTTGTGGATAACCATTCACATAGGTCACGTGTTATTCAGTAAGTACCCTGTGCATATAGAGTATCCCCGAAAGCTTGTCATGGATATGTTTTTTGGCTGGTATATTAACTGAAAGGAAAAGGTTTCCAGCTGTGTGAGTATGAATGCCAAATAGTCATTCAAAGTCTCTCTTTTGACCTTCAATTAGTAATTATCTAATTCATCAGTCATTCGCATTGCTCACTAAAAATGGATTCTAGTGTTGTTGAGTTTTTCTATTCTCTATCATGCGTCAACATTCTACCACATACTTTGTAAAATGTATTTGTGTTCATGTATAAATCCAGGCTATCTCATATGTTTGGATAACTTCTGCATAAAAATAGCAAGAGGTGGTTTGTTTTGTGTGTTTGTTCGAGTTCAAAATCATTGGCCTATCCACAATGAATTCAATCCAAAGTTACTTAACGTTTAGAAATTGAATGGATAGCTTCGCTAGAGAAAGGTTCTGTGACATGGACGCCCAACCCAACTCGGTCAGCCGGTTGGGCCACCTAACATATGATGAGATTCTCGATCGATTTGATCAAATTTCAAAAAGTCTTTCTCACTATTCAAACGGTGGAGCTTTCGATCAAGATCTTCTCGCCTCACCCGTTTAGGCTCAAGCTCGAATCGGAACCTTTATGCGTTGGTAGGCTTTCGACTCAATCTAATAGCCTACCTATCGGGCGCCAATAAAAGAGAAAAGTTTTCGCACGGGCTCATCATCTGATGCAGAACCGATGCGAGAGGGAGAAGTGGGGATTGATAGCTTTCAAGAACCAGTGGAAGCATTCTGTCCTTTCCAAAAAAGTCAATTAGTTTGGGCTGGCATAGGCATAAAAGATTTGATTGAATGAATGCCACCTTGGTAGTTTTCAAACAAATCCAATGTTGGGCCAAGCCTTGCCAGCCGGTAATATCCGAAGGCAAAAAAGGGGGAGATTTTTTTGTTAATAAGCAATGTAGAAGCTCCCTCTGATAGGCTTAGATTGCAAAGTTAAAATCAATTATGCAATTATCCACAGATCCCGTAATTATGACATTGATATTAATAATCGGGTTGTGTGGCTCCTACAGCCTTTTGGTTATACGTCAAACAAAGCTGGCATTTGCTGTTGGGCAAACAAAATCTGTCTCATAGAGCAGATGAACTAGGTCTAATGTGTTTGATTAAATACTTCCCCTGTCTCATTTAGGTGTCCCATTTTGTTTGGCACGATTATTAAGGTAAGAACATCTAATTGAAAATGAGTCGAAAAGTGTAGTATATAAAGTGAACTTGAAGAAATTTGAACTTTGTGTTGTTCAAATGTGGGCTTTGCAGCACCTTTTAAACAATAGACTGTAGAATATTGAAAGAATATTAATGTCTTTTTTTTATTAAAAGAAAATTGAACCATTTCTCAATTTGTGCATGTCATCCTTGCGTAGGGGCCATACTAATCTGTTCTGTATCAAACCAATTATATCAGATGTCGCAGAAGGGACAAATAGTTAACACAATTTTTTTAATAGGGTTGTAAATCTTTGCAATTAAAACCTTTGCACAATAGGTGAAAATGGGTACAGAAGTGGAGATAAAGTTGATTTGGAAAATTGTGAACTTTTTTTGCTCAATAATGGGTCCAATAACGATTTTACAAATAGATGAAGAATTTTATGAATAGATGAAAAAGGTAATAAACTCCATCAGAATAAGTTGACAATTTTGGAACAACCTAAAATAGAGATAGATAAATTGTTAGTATGAAGGAAGTAGTAATTAGTAAATCTTCAGAGATAACACCTTTGCACAATAGGGTTCAGGTGAAGGCCAACAAATAATCAGCACATGAAGAAAACCAAGGGCAAGCTGCAGAAACTAAAAGTACTGAATGTGTCAAAGGCATAGCAAAGACCTCTTGGCATAAAAAAGGATAAACTACCTTCTTAAAGGCTCAATAGCTTTCAGCATAATTACTTAGATGAACCGTTAAAATAGTATCTGGAGGTTTTAGTTTAGGAGAATTATTATTTGCTAAGCTGGGCAGGTAAATGAGAAATACTTCGGGTGTATCAAAGTTGGAAGGCAAAGAAAGGACAAAAAGACCTTGGTATTCTGTCTGTAGCCTCTCTTCCGTGCTAGGTCAAACTGTGGACTTTATAGACATTAATATTCTTATTATTTAAGGCCAAATGCCATCCATTCTTTTTTGATTATTGTACTATTCTTACACCTCAAAGTTGACCAGCTTCCAGTTCCAAAGATTTAAGAGCTCAAATGGTTTACAATTTGTCTGTGATGACGATGATGACTTCTCAGAATTGGGTTCTCCAGTAGAAAGAGCCATTGGGCAGCTGAAGTTAGCGACGGAGAAGCCTGACCCTTTTGTGGTATGCCTTTCTGATTTTATTAAGAGCAATATATTATACTTTCTGATTTTATTAAGAGCAATATATTATATATCCATATTGGACTTCTTACCATTGGGTACATGGACTGATTTGTTTGATGATGTTACCAATACCTTTTGAGCCACAGAAATATGATAATAGTAGAAAAGTATCTTCAAGCAAGTCTTCTCGCAGTGAAAGCAAGCAAAGCAGAAAAGGCAGAATCTTAAATCTTGATAAACCTCATCGAACTTCTTGTGAGTTTGGCAATGGTGATGATGCTTCTGGATCGATTCATACAACTTCAGATGCTACTAGGACGAATAGTCGGAGGTCAATCTCAGTTGGGAATGTACCTTCTACAATCAGCCTTTCTCAGCTTGTAGAAGCAGTTTCAGTCTTTGGAAAGGTCTGCACTGCCTCAGTCCGGGATCTGCCTGATGGGCTTAACTGTTGGGACATCCAATTCGAGGTATGCTATTGATTCTGGAACTTCTGCCTAAATTCTCCTCATTGAGGAAAAGTTTGTTTATTAACTGTTATTAACTGTTGGCAAGAGCATAGAATCCTGCAACAGAGCAATTAGAGCTGGTGCGTTAACTGTTGGGAAGTCTTGTCTTCAAATCCGTCCTCTGCGGGCTTCGATGGTTGTTACTATCAGGATTAAAGGCATATCCGGAGATGCTTCCTTTGGTGAGATACACTCAATCTGTAAAGTTGTTGGCACAACAGAAGGATTGGCATGGGTAAGCAAGGATAGTGTTGATGCGTTATTTACAGTTGAGACTGACACAGAACCACAATCAATCCTCAAAAAGTAAGTGGTGGTTCAAGCTGGAATAGTAGTGTTTTATTGTTACTGCATTCATCTGTTTTAACTCTTGTAGGTTAGGGGGCTGGGTTATTTTTTATTACTTTGCTATCTCAAAAGTATAAAACTGTTCTCATGGTTTCCTTTGGGATGGAGTTGGAGGGGAGAAATCAATCGAAACCACTTCTCGTTATTACTGCATCAACATTCATATTATTAACTATGAGAGGACTGATATTGACATCTGGTCATTGAATATTATATCTTCCTCTTTCCTTAGCAAAACATATTATCTTCCACTATTTGTGGACACTGGTTAATAACCTATGGTATTTCAACTATCTTTTGGCCAAGAATTTTAATTATGCCAATCTGAAATCAAGTTGCTGTTCATCTTGTTTCCAATTTAATCATGCCTTTACTCTAGTGGATGAGAATATATATATATATATTTGGTGTAGCTTTCTTATGCATTTCTCTCTTCTTAGGTTAAATGGTACTACTGTTGGTGGTCATCGCCTGTCAGCTTCTTTACTATCGAGCAACTCATCCTCTGCTTGCATGTCTGCAAATGAGGGTGCTAGATGCAAGATGGGCTTACAAATTAGTAGTTACTTGACAGTACTCAAATTGCAACTTGAGGAAAAGAAAGTGCATTTTGAGGATCTTCAGATGCTGCATGAGGGAATAATGCACCTTGAAGATCTGCCTTCCAACGTTGATTAATCTGACATTTGATTCATGATTTTCAAATTGTCTCCTCTATTCAAGAATGTTCGCTTGCTAACAACAGGGTCACTCTCTTCAAGCCTCTCTGTACCCCCTTCCCGCAAACCCTTCAATGTGCCCCCTTGCCGTTGCTTTTAGTTGCTGAAATGAGCCTTTTTGCAGCCTGTCCCATTTGTAATGGATTGGCTGCCCTAAGTGTATTACCATTATGTTTGCGATAGTGATGGTGACATGGTCAATATATTCAAGGGGATTTTATCATATTATCCCTATATGAAAGGATAGTTGAATTTTCCCTTGAGCCTGTTCCAACTTTAATTTCTTTATTAACCGATTTCATTATCATATTTGCTGGACAGGAAAGCTTAATTAAGCTACGCCTGACTATCTGATCATTATCGGGCATTGCTCTGTATTCTTGCGAGAGAAAGCAAACAAGATAATGGTGTCATTCTGACCAACTTTAAGTTAATGGCCCTTTTTTTTTTCTACACATTTTTACAGCCAAATTTCTAGTAACTGAAAAGGCTATTACTGGAGGAGCCCTTTCGGAAAAAAAATCTATTGGTTGATGATTTGTTTGTGGTGATTGTTACCATTGATTGCTACCGGTGCTTGGTTCTTCATTGCCTGTGGCTATCACCGGCTATCTCCTCCCCTAATCCACTTTTAATTTCATTGAACAAACATGGATTCATATTAGATTTACCCTAATGCATGGGGTAGGAATAATTGCCGGGGGACGTAATCAAAGAAAGAAAAATGAAATACTCTCGAATTACTTTGGTACACCCTGAATATCCAACTTGTTGAAGACTACTTCGTAAACACGAGGGAGCATGGTAGTATGTGAGATGGACAAGTTTTGAGAACACAGAGGATCGTAAAGTGGAATAGAGAAAAGGAAAAAGAAATCGAATTGGCCTGGACTTCTCAGATACCTAATCATAATTCGTACCAGACGCATAAATATTTACTTGGTTCCTCACTGAGAAAATTTTTAATACTTGTTTCTGTTCACACGTTTTTTCAACTAAGAAATGAAAATTTTGAGATAATAGAGAGAGCAGGGAAGTGGGGAGGACAAGGAAAGAATGACACATAATCAGGCAACGATGGGTTACAGAACAGATCCATTTTCTGAAAGTTGTTCTCTTTGAGCATAAAGTGCACAAGTCATTTACTGAAGGTTTTAGTTGTGCACAAGTGCAGTAATTGAAGTCATTAAGGACAGGGTCAGGGATTGTGTTTAATCTACAGATTCATCTCCTTTCGGCCCCATATTCAAAATTCTACAAGGACTTTCCCCGTTTTCGGGTGCTGATACACTCATTGAGGAGCATTGTTCAATCTTATATTCCCTCTCATCAACTAAAGACTTCATGTAGGAACAAGGCCGGTCCTCGGTCTCCATATGACTAGGCTCCAGCCCTGGATTAAGTTGCAACTCAAATGATGATGGTCCCAGAGGTTGAGTCCTCATTTGCACAGATCGCAAAAGTGCAGCTCTCCTTAAGTCAGCAGAGTGGCATATGTCACTGGGTGATGATGGAAATCGACCCTCAGAATCAGATCCTCGTTGACGAGGCTGTGAGGATGTGGCAGGAGGGAAGCTGCAGGAATGTGACGGGTATGACGTGGAGGGAGGGCCTGATGAGAACCCATTCAAAGGTTTGTGATATCGGTAGGGTGAGACTGGACTAGTTGGCGTGCTCTCAGATTGGGGGGAGCTGGTAATTGTCAAAGGTTCATAGCATCGTGAGTCATCTGAATCTTCTGACATTGGGGAATACTGAAAGGACATTTCGTCCCTGAAAAAACAATAATATAAAGTCAAATAAAACTTGATAACAAATAAAAAGGGAGACAGCAAATATAGCATCTTCATCTGTCAACTGTATTTCATATTCAGATGCACATAAGCAGGGGCAAATCCAGCCCTTTGAAATCGAGTTCATCTGAACCCGCTATTTTTGGTGCGGAGCATAAATTTATGTGTAAATATTCACTAAAATTGCAACAAATAGTAGATATGAACCCATAAATTCAAAAATATAACGGGTTCAAAATTAAAAACTTTAAAAGTTGAAGCCATAGTGTTTAAATCATGTATCCACCTCTGCACATAAGTTGTCAAGCTGCAAATAATTAGGACATCCAAAACTCAGGGAAGAATTCAGGTAGTCTATCTCTACAAGTGATTCGGGGAGAGGTAAAATGAAAATAAATGCTCCTCAAAAGTAACCATATCTAAAAGCATGTATTGTGATAGATTGGTCCATCTACACATTAGTGTGTGTGTCTTCCTCATCCAAGGGATTAGGGAATTTTGGTCTTCAGACGCTAAACTTGACCAAAATGACCAAGATAATCGTATCGATCATATCTTCGAAGATCATATCTTCGAAACAGTGTAATTTTGCTTGATTGTCACAGAAACTCCTCTACCCCACAACAACACACACACACAACAACAACCCCCCACCAAAAATAAAAATATAAATAATGGTGCTGTTTTATTTAACAGCAGACTACAGTATCATTGACATTGCACGGCAAATCAGGTTTTCTTACAACAAAATCGAAGGCAAGTCACCCCCTTTTAGGATTTTTGTAACTATAAAAACCATACAGCGGTGACCCCTCTGTTACGCTTAAAAAACGACCATACGGTTTGTACTTCCTTGCCAACCATTTTTTGCTCTAAACTCCAATTGCCATGACAGGAGACACCGACAGAGGGCTCACTGCTAGCTTCATCTAGTAATCTTTTGAGATGTTCGCAGTGTCAGTGTATGTAAAGCTCTCAACACTTCACTTTTCGGCTTTCGCAACAGAATTGCTCATACAGTCACTACAAGGTTCACAGAGTAATAGTAGATGAATCGAACTACCATCATCATAGAATCAGCGAAAACCCTCTTCAAAAAAAGACAGGAGACAGCTGCCAGATGACAAACTGCATCTACCAACTCTAGTTTCCTGTCATTCATCACTCCATTACTGATGAATGGAAAAGCTGTTAAAATATACCCAGACACGAAATATACTAATTTATCTGTCAAAGATGCACATACACGAAATCGACACGGTAGAATCCCGCGCCATAGTATATTCACTTGCAACTAGACCCATACAAAACTACCATATTATTGTGCTTCATCAGTTTGCAGGTCTTATTTTTGTTTTTTCAAGTACTCTCCTACATGGGACCAACTCCTATAGCATAGTATTATGACTATGAAATGCAAGAGGTCAATCTAATGGACCAAATAGAAAATGAAATAGTGAAACTCAAACAGTAGAGTATGCATCATGCTTCTGGCAATTTTTATCCAAGGGAAATATGTGTAAAAGCGTTGAGGAACTAGCAAAAAGTTCAGGTAGCTACTCTGCATCTTACCTTGTTTGTTTAATGCTTCCCACTTACACAGAGTCATATATTAGAAATGGGAACCACCATATATTATAACATCAAGGCAGGTAAGTTTCAAGTGAAAATCGGAAATGGACAGGACGCTACATAGACTTTGCAAGTCATGAAAGTTATTGGATGTTGAAGTCCCCAGATCCTTGCTAATCAGATATATAGTATAGTTTAATTCTTGCTTCATTTGTTTTATGTGAAGGAGGGTCACGGAAAAAAAGAAGCCAGTAGTTCGATTTAGCCTTCTAGTAACTTTTGGAATGTAACGGCTAATAGATGTTAAAGCTCCTAACGAAACCTAATATAGACCAGCATCAACTAAAGCATCCGCCGTAGTTGAACAATTGATGTACATGGAAGAAGAAAAGCAACTACTCTGTCTGCTTTCATTCTTTCTCTCTCTTCATTTAACTCCACTACCTCTCAGAAACAAAATTCAACATAGGCTGTAAAAGCCTACATATAAATATTATGTCCCAAGCACCAAAATTTAGGTAGAGGTATCAAAAAACCTCTCTCCGGATAATAAAGTGTTCTCTCAAGACTCAGCTTGCTGTAAGAAGAAAATGTTACTAAGCTTGGTCTTTAATGGACTCACAAAGCATTTTGGTTGATATAGTAATGAGCTACCCAGAAAGGACAGAAGGAGAGAAGTTTCAATTGGAATCCTCACCATGCACCACACCTTCCTTAGTTTAAAGTTATAGTAAGATAAACCTAAAATAATTAGAGAGAGAGAGAGAGTAAAGAACCTAGAAGTAAACGCCATTGCAGGAAAGCAATCTCCCATCTGCAGGGAAAATTCTTCCTTTTCTTTTCTATTTTCTTTCTTTTTTAAAGACTTAATGCACAAAAATGCATTATTTTGCAAAAACACTGGGTAACTTCTTCTCATCTGTTTAAGCCTTGGCGGACAGAGTTACCGGTGCTGGTGGGAGGTAGCAAGTACCTCGTGGAATTAGTCAAGGTGCGCGCAAGCTCGCCCGAACACCACGATTATAAAAAAAATTGCATTTCTGTGGAAACAGTAAAATATCCAAAAGGAACTAAATCTTCTGGCAGTAAAGTCTATAAACTAATGCAAGGTACCTATGAAGGACTTCTTCACTTTAAACGCAATCACATGCCAATGGACTGTCATGGACATATAACTTTATAACGGATTTGTACTTGGAGCATAAGCTTAAGGTCAGAGTGTCATTTCAGATTTTCAACAGTCACCGAAGTTGGATTAAGCTGGAATCAAAAGTAGCTCTCTACATATAATGAGAAACAGAAATTGCTCCCATCCTAAATGAGAAACCGAAATTGCTTAATATCTGTGTAATTTTCCGTCTTGCAAAATAGTAGAAAGTTCATCACCTGATATAAAGCATGTTTTCGGATCTTGATGGAGAATCCACTATATTATCTGGTAAGGAGTCTCCCACTGTCAGTCCATTTAAACTTGATGCCATTATCTGCAAAATTCCTCAAGTTACGTCAGAAATGGCAAAAGCAACTAGCACACAAAGCCAGTACTCACACGGCAAAGAACATGCGTTTCAAGTACTAGCCGCATATCCAACTTCAAAAATTACAATCAACATAAGAATCCGACAACAAACATTTACTGAACACTTGTAACTTTTATAACCTTGTTAAGAAAACACAATCTTTTGGAATATTCAATCAGCTGCATTTCAATCCTAAACTACTACTCCTACTACTACTACAACAACAACAACATACCCAGTATAATCCCACGGGTCGGGTCGGGGGAGGTAGTGTGTAGGCAGACCTTACCCTACCTGGAGAGGTAGAGAGGCTGTTTTGGATAGACCCTCGGCTCAAGAATTCAATCCTAAACTGCTCTTTATCCGAAAAAACACTATACTTTTTACTCCATTCGTCCTCTTTAATACACAGAACTAGATTCGCGGAAAGAAATATAATGGTCGTAATTTGATAAAGAAAATATCACACCTGAGCTGAATAATTTAATAAATTTGAGTTGAAGAAAGCTATATAGAAATGAAATGCTCAAACATGTCGAGACGTCCCAAATAAAAGGGTATTACGTAAATTAAGACATAGAGAGTATGATTAACAAAATCGGCGAGCTTCTAAGACATAGAGAAGGGGACACACCTCACTAAGATATCGTTTGTGAGAGTGGAGATTGTCGAGATAAACCTCGTCTTCTGGGTCTCTATTTCTCTTACCACTTGGGGACGATGTGGCTGACGATGATGATGCTGCCGTCGCCGGAGCTGACGAACCCGTGTCCAAGCCCATAATCCCAAAGAGGAAAATCAATCCTTTTTCCCCCTCTTTCTGGAGTTCAATGTCAGACTTAAAAAGTAGAAAACCGATCAAGCACCCACCAAAACCAAAAAGTTAACGGCTTTAATTAGCATAAAAACGGCTTTAATTATACAAAAGTGTGAAATGAAAAAAATTCCGATACTGGTTGAAATGATGCCAGGTCATTGTCCACTTTTCAAAGCCTAAATATAAGCCCATTATTTTACGGGCTTGAGCCATTAGAAATGCTTGTAGCCTTGTAACTTTCATTTTCTTAAACATCTGCGATTTTTACACAGATAGCCAGTCGCATTGTTTATTTGTTTTTTTTTACTTTTGAAGTCTTCAACTCGTCCACATAAAGGATTGAGTACTGAACATTTGTCTCCTTAAAGCAAGCGTTTTGTTGGAGCAAATGGAGTTTGTCGGGGGATATAAGCATGTGAATTGTCAATTATTGCAAAGAATTTGGCCCCAATACCAAACATCATAGCAGCTAACATGCTTCCACGTACACCTTTATTACTCATCACTTATCCTGTAAATTTAATACTAACTTTTATTATTTCATTTTTCTTTTATTAGATAAAAAGTTTAACCAAGTTTTACCTTTGTATTTTTCTGGGAATATTAAGCATTTTTTATTTAAGTCAAATTAAACTTAAATACATATGACACACGGAAGCATAGCTAGTAGGAAGGAATGAGTTTAATTGAATCCCTCTAACCGAAAATTATTTATACATATAGGATAAAAAAAATTAGTTATATAATCTGTTGAATCCCTTTTGATATAATTTTTTAAAAACATAATAATAAAAGGAGTTTCAAAAGTTATTTCAGGTCACTAACAACAAAAACAAACGACGGTAATCCAGTGGTTAATTTAGAAGTCATCATAAACAATTAGCTTGAAAGAAGACAAAGTGGGCAATCAAATCATCAACAATTATTTCAAGAGAAGATAAAGTACCATCGCCTAGCTTTACAAGAGAGGTTTGGACGGTGTGATTCTACAAAATAATTCTACATGTGATGTTCGATATGTGTATATAAAGAGATTTTACACAAAGATTGTTACTTGAATAATCATCAAAATGGTTTCAAATGTTCATAACAAACATTCACTTTTGATGAATTGATCATAGTTTTATTTCCTTTTGTGAGCCAATCTTATTGACTATTAAAAAAATAATTTAGGATCAAAGAAAAGAAAATCTTCAAATAACAACACACATGCCTTGACTGTGCCTCAAACTTTAATACCACTATATATTAAACAAGCACTAATTGGCACGATATAAATATCTCAATTTGCTATCGAATGAAAATAAAGCATGAAAAAGGAACAAAAAAGAAATAGAGAATAACAACCTTGACATAACAGTCGCCAAGGGTATGATCTCATCAAGAAAGTAAACATCCTTATCCTTAGATATTTTTAGTTTTCTTTACAAAAAGAACAGAAACCTGAAAAATGAAGAATTGATGCTTCTGACTTTGGTAGTCATGCTCAATTAACTATCTTATTAAGTACTCCATTTGGATAAGTACTTGTATTGTGGTGCACCACGCAGCAAGAGGGTGGCGGGTGGGTTTAGTCAAGGAAATGTGTGCTATTTATTAGCATTACAACGCACCATATTTTTGCGTATGCAGTGATTAGTCTTCAATCTATTATTAATATACATTGAGAAAGTAAAAGTCAAGAAGAAATGAAAACAATTAAAAAGTACTGAACAGTCTTAGATGTGGTCCAGCGTTGATAAACTGGAAAAAATCATGAAAGATTACTGTTTAAATGACTGACAAAGTTTATACGTGTTGGTAGAAGATACTTAACAAATACTAAATAAAAAGAAAATCACCTGACACTTACGCCATACAATAAATAAATTGGTACGAACATTGTCATTATAAAAAGAGTTAGAAAAGCAATCACAGTTTGAGAATATACTAATTGCCAAAAAGAATTAGAGATTATACTTATAAGTACAGATTTTGTTCCAAAAAGTAAAAAGAGGTTAAGGAGTCAAAGGTGTCACACCATGACAGGCTCAGGAAGGGGAAGTACACAAATAGCCATTTTTAGGATTATTATTTAGTGTTTAGCCAATACTTATTTTATCATGAAAATTTGAACTAAAAATTTTAAGTTCAGAACTGTATGTCCTGAAAAACTAAAATTCAGAAAATACTGGCTAATTTCTAAATAGAAGCCCTCTAAAATGGCTACCTAATGTCACTTCTACGGCTCTCATAACATAATCACATAGGTACACTCTTCAATTTTTTATCTAAATCAATGGACATTAATGAACCGTCATTGATAGACGTTGCACATGACACGATCAATTCGACTCAAGGTCTGGCGCTAATAGAAGTTGCTTACTTTCCTAGTAGCGAAGGAAAGGGCTCACGCGGTGATATTCTATCTTTCCAAGAGTACTACCATGTACGTAGTCTACGTCTGGGGAGCATACTTGACAGGAGATAGACACATGCGGTAGAGGGGGTGGGTCTTCCCTTTCTCAATTATGACGTACTCGATTAGGTTGCCATCTAGGTCTCGGTCGGGGGTGACTTCCAAATTATGGTCTCATTCTTCACTGATAAATGAGTAGACTTCCCCTTTCGATTCATGGAATGTGATCTGGGACACGATGGGAGTTTGCATGCCCCGTACCCGCACTAAGGGGTAACATGAGATAAGGTATGGAAGCAGTCTGATTATTTCCATTATATAAATGCCCAATGTTTAAAGGAAATTTTACCTCCTATAGCAAAGCTTTACATCCTTTTTATTATAAATAAAACCTTTTTAAAATATATTTTCTATAGCTACCTTTTAGTTTTTATAGTAAATATGTATTTATGATATCTTCCAACTGTTAAGCCATTAAATACGTTGTCTAATATTTTTCTCTTTCGTTCTTTGAGTTTATTCTCTCCCAAAATTACCGCATAGTATCTTATTTCTCTCTACACAATCTCTCTCTCACAGCGCCATTGTCTTCCCCATTGTTGAACCACGATTCTCCTTTATTTGCAGGTTCTCTCTCTAGATTGTTCTCAAACCCTAGAGTAGATTTGCTGGATTTCATCTATGTTAACATGAGTTTCAAAATGTCTTAATCAAAGTTTCTGATATAAGTTATATCTTTTCCCAAAGTGGAACGAGCATGGTCTATTCATAGCTGATTTGATTTTGAATGTTGACTTCGAAGAGGAAAGGATGGAGGAGAAGGTGGCAGCGGCTAATGAGATTAGGATTAGGTTTGGGGAGATGGGTTAAACCATTCACATATAACAACTGAAATGTATTGCAGGTTCATCAACAACCATTGAAGTCGAAAGGAGAAAAAAATACGCCAATGACCTTAATTGTAGATGTATTTATATGTATTACGGTCCGTATATATTGATTTTTAGTTTGTACAGTGATTTTCTCTTCTTGTATTTATATGTATTCGATAAGGCATACATATTTATATAGTGGTTCTCTCTTCTTGTATTTAGATGTATTTATATGTATTCGATAAGGCATACACTGATTTTTATTTTCTACAGTGATTTTTGACTGTTGTGTTTAGATGTATTTATATGTATTTGACTTCGTACAACAACATTTTTAAATACATTGTTAGCTCTATCGTTTTGATGTTATTCATCAATTAGTTATGCATTCAATCTAACTGTCACGACCCCGGTTTGCCCTCCGTGAACCATCGTGACGACGCCTAGTCTCTACGACTAGGTAAGCCTAAAAATGCGGAAAATAAACCAAATTTTTGCGGAAGTAAAACAATTTGAAACAGGAATAAAGAAATAAACAGCGTTTAAATGTGCCGCTTGGCTTACACAATATTTAACTTTCAAAACCAACACATAAATCCAAGACCCGGAAATCCATGAATCACAAGCTAAGAAATGCTACATAGCTCTAACTCCAGAATGTCTAAAAAGAACGAAAAATACAGAAGGGCTAATACTAAACAGCAAGAATAGAAAGAGACTCTTCGGTCTGCGGACGTGGCAGATATACCTCGAAGTCGCTATAGCAGTCGCCTCGCCTCAAGAGTGATGGGACTGAGTCGAAGTACCTGGGTCTGCACATGAAAGCATGCGCAGGAAGGGCATGAGTACACCACAGCGGTACTCAGTAAGCGCCAAGCCTAACCTCGGTTGTGTAGTGACGAGGAAGGTCAGGGCCCTGCTGAGATTAATAATATGAAGTTCGACGGTGCAGATAAGAGCAGTATAAATAAGTACAACAGTATAAATATCGCAGGATATAAGACAACTATAACTGATACAGAGGCAAACAATCATAAGGATAATAATCGGGGATCTCTCAGTATCCCGATGGATCTCTTAGTATCCTCAACACATATATCCGGGGATCTCTTGATATCCCGAGGATCTCTAGGTATCCTCAGTATACGCTAGGGATCTCTTGGTATCCCGAGGATCTCTTGGTATCCTCAATATATATATCAGGGATCTCTTGGTATCCCGAGGATCTCTTAGTATCCTCAACATATGTGCCAGGGATCTCTCGGTATCCCGCACCTCAACTCGATCATAAATACGTACAGGGGATCTTCCGGGATGCTTTCCCGTAGTTCCAAAACGGAATACACAACAATAGCAGAAAAACGATATACTCAATTAAGCTCAACTTCATACCAAGGCAAAATAGGTAATTCAAACCTAGCATGCTTCACGTAATAGAAATAAGGCAGTTAAAACAAATAAAGCAATTTAGTCAAATAGACATGCTTCTCTAGACTAACAGCAGACTAAGTTTCCAAATAATGTAAGCAAGAATCGGAAGAACACAATTTAAGGCTATTTTTAATGAAAAACCGGATTTCCAATAATTAGCACAAGTACGCACTCGTCACCTCACGTAAAAGGATTTTCAAGTATCATGATATCAATCCTAAGGGGAGAGTCCCCCACACAAGGTTAGACAAGCCACTTACCTCGAACCGGCTCAATTGTCAACCCGAAACCACATTCTTGCCATGAGTATTCGACTCCAAATGGCCCAAATATATTCAATTAAATCTCATAATGTAAATAACACTTCAAGTAACTGATTCTATAATTAAATTCTAAGCTAATACGCGAAATTAGGTAAAATGACCAAAACGCCCCTCGGGCCCGCGTCTCGGAATAGGGTGAAATTTATATTTCCAAAATCCTCACACTCTCATGAGTTCATGCATACCAAAATTACCAAAATCGGAACTCAAATGGTCCATCAAATCCTCAATAAAAGGTCTCAAATACTAAGCCCTAGTTTCCCCAAATTTCATCCTAAATTTCCATAATTTCTAGCTCTAGTCCGTGAAATAATAGCATAGGAACGAGTTTTAAGTCCAAATTCCTTACCTCATTGAAGTTTCCTTGAAGTCCCCCTTTCAAACTCCCAAGCCGAGATAAAAATGGTGAAATAGCTCAAAATTCGCGAAGACACAATTTATATTTCTGCCCAGGCATTTTTCGCATCTGCGACACAATAATCGCTTCTACGGTACCGCATATGCGGCCACATAACCGCTTCTGCGGTTCTTCACTTAACGGACCAAATCGCACCTGCTTTCTGACAAATTCCTCACCCATCCGCTTCTGCGGCTCCTCTTCCGCGTGTGCAGCGTCGCACCTGCGGTTCCCAAACCACAGGTACGGAAATACCAGAAGCAGCAAAAGTTTATCAGCTGCAAACATTCCTCAAACTCCCCGTCAACCATCCGAAATCATCCCGATGCCCCCGGGACCTCAACCAAAGGCACCAACAAGTCTAATACCACTGTCCAAACTTGTACCAATCCTTAAAACACCTAAAACAACATCGAAACCTCAAATTAACCATGGATTCAAGCCTAAGAACTCCAATTTTCTCAAAACATGCTTTCGATCAAAAAGTCTATCAAACCTCGTCCGAATGACCCGAAATTTTGCAGACACGTCACATTCAACACTACGGAGCTACTCCAACAATTATCACTCTGAATATAGGCCGACAAGGCCATACAATCTTTCAAGTACACGACATATGTCTACAAGCCTCTAAGAAAACATAAATGTCACCATACTAATCAATACATGTCCTAATCATACTGACCAAATAAGTAACTCCGGGGCAAATGGAGCGCACCAACACCTTCCGCTGAGCTGATAGCCTAATTGGAGGACTCTCAACCTGTCTATTGGGACTTGCGGGCATGAAACGCAGCGTCCCCAGGCAAAAGGGACGTTGGCACAAATAATGCACCGAGTATGTAAGGAATGAAAATTAGTAAGTAATAGACATGAGAGAAACATGGAGTAAAAGACTCAACATGTAAGTCTGAATAACTCTGTAAATCATTAATATTTATAATGTCATGCATATACGTATAAATGTCATACCATGCATAGGTATATGTGTTCCAACATCATCAAGCCTCTGAGGCCAACCCATCATATCATCTTGGCCACTGTGGGCAAATCATCAACGTATACCAACTGATTAGGTGGTGGTGCGTATATAATGTCGTAACCTTTTTCC